TGTGTTGGCTTTTTTGGCAGCTGCGACGAGATCTGTAATACCATCAGACATCCACATCTGCCTATTTCACGTCCTTGGGAAGGACTTGATAGACAAAAATGCCAAATCCAGTCTGAACATCTGGCTGACTGTGTGATGATTAATAATAATAATAATAACATTAATAATAAAGTTGGAAGGGATCTTGGAGGTCATCTAGTCCAACCCCCTGCTCAGGCAGGAAACCCTATACCATTTTCAGACAAATGGCTGTCCAGTCTCTTCTTAAAGACTTAAAGCAGGGGTCTTCAAACTGCGTGCCTGGCTGAGGAATTCTGGGAGTTGAAGTCCACCAGTCATCAAAGGGCCAAGTTTGAAGACCCCTGCTTTAAACAAACAAGTTCCTTATAGAGGGCCATGATCTTTTTCAGGGGGAAACTTTATTTATTTATGAGACTTATATACCGCTTTAAGTATAAGCACTCTCTAAGCGGTGTACACCAGTAAGCAATGTATGTATGTATGTATGTATATGTGTGTGTGTGTGTGTGTGTGTGTGTGTGTGTGTGTGTGTGTATATATATATATATATATATATATATATATATATATATATATATATTTACATTGCCCCCAACAATCTGGGTCCTCATTTTACCTACCCCGGAAGGATGGAAGGCTGAGTCAATTGTGCTGGTTTCAAAGATTTGAGTACTTGAGAGTTACCAGTGGGAGTTAACCCAGATTTCACTACGCTGGGAGAACACTTTCACAACAGGGGAACCAATTCCGCTCACTCTCGGCCACGATCCGCTTATTTCCTAGTTACCTGCCAAACAAAGCTGCGCTTTTTCCCTTGGTGAAATTCCTTTAATTACAGAGGTTCTCTTTAGCAACCATCCTGACGACGTTCCGGAAGTCTTTATAAACCTGGCTGCTCTCCCAGGCCTTGGGGGGGGAGGGGGTAGGGTGTTTGTGGAGCCCTGGGATGTAATCTGAGGGGATGTTTAGAGTCATCTATTTTTTTTAATTGTTTATCTATTTTCCATCTCAGCTTGCCCAGTCATTCTGAAGCTGGTAATCTTCTAAATCTTAACAGCTTGGAAAATATCTGTCGTTTGTAAAGGAAAGTTCACCCATAACGCGATTAAATCTACTTTGGGAAGGGCCAGCAAAAGTGAAGGTATATTTATATGCATATTAAAAAGGGGAAGGAATGAAGATCATTTACAGCTAGGTGCATACAGTATTGTTAAGTTCCCCCAGTCTGATGTTTTCAAACGCGTTAAGAGGGCCACTTCCCAAATTCCCAGCCAATGTGGCCATTGATTATGAAGGCTGGCCATTCTGGTAAGTGTAGTACATCATATACGAAGGCATCAGATTGGGGTAAAGGGTGAAAGAAAATTAAACAGTCAAGGGTCTCCTAGCTATTTTTTATTTTTTATTCACAAAAGCTGTCCAAAGAATCAGTTGTGCTAGTGCAGTGGTTCTCAACCTTTTTAATGCTGTGACCCCCCAACCGGTTGTAAGTCGAGGACTACTCAACCAGTTGTAAGTCGAGGACTACTCAACTGGCGCAGTACCGTTTGCAGAATGGGACTTTTGGCGGGCTCAGCAGGGCAGAGACAGCCTGGACAATTCCTATGGGCTTTTGAAATCCAATAGAATTAGACTCTATTCAAAAGCCAATAGAATAAAAGGGAGTAAAACAGCTAAGGAAAAGGGGGAAAAAATGGCGGATTGCGTTGTTTGGCGACCCCCGTGAAATGGTCGTTCGACCCCAAATGGGGTCCCGACCCACAGGTTGAGAACCACTGTGCTAATGTCAGCATGCCGGCTACAGCAGAAAGAATCAGCCTGCACTGTACAGAAGTAAAGTTTTTCAAACACACAAAAACTTTCTCACTCATCTCCATTCAATACAGCATATCCCCAGAGGAAAGACAGACCCTGGGCATAGAAGCATGGGCGAATTCTCAAGAAACACAAAAGCAAACGGGATACTCCATTTAACGGATCTCTTTTACCAGGCGGTCGACAGAGATTTTGCAAAACTCCTTTTTAAGAGTTCCCGACGTATTTTCTGAACAATGTGACGGCAACGATCGATCGCTATCTTTTGATATCTTTAAAAGGAAGCTACACATGTCTCGCACACGCAGGATTCTCGCCGGACCAAAAGGCAGGCCTCTAAACGGGGCTTGCTCCTAACTGTAATCCTTTTAATACAAATTAATCCTCCGCTGACTATCCACAGCCTGCATCCCAGTTGCATGAAATCACAAGGGAAGCGGCCAGGTCAGCCCCAGCCAGAATACATCTAAGAGAGACAGGCCTTTCTTTGTTTGACAGGCAAGTTTTGAGGAGGGACAGTTCAGAAACAACGCGGCCTATCACATACAGAGGGAAGATGGCTCCTACGATGAAAAATGGCCTTCTTTTTCAGGACAGTTTCCCCGAAATTCTGCCCCCTACCCATTTCCCAGCAAGAGTCCCTCGGCTTTCTCATGCTGAACAGCTTCTCTCCTTTCCTCACGAGTAAATAACGCTTAATTTTTAAGAGCTGGGAGGCAGGACCGTCCCGATGCCAGGGCCCCAAAGCCCGGCCTTTACAATCCAAGCGCTCCCCAAACAGAGAAGCAAGGCAGGATCAGGCGAGCCGCTCGTAATGGCTACTTTCTGCCATTTTCTTTTCCCAGACTGCCTCCCCTTCCCCAATATAAGCCAGACTCTTAAAACGTCCAGCTTACCCTCGGCTTCCCGACAAGAAAACGCCTACGGCAACCAAGGGCGGGCGGGCGGGCGGCGAGAAAAAGCAAAATTTTATTTGCAACTGTGTAAACAATACAGCCAGCCCAGCGCCATAGAAAGCGAGGCCCAAGTTAAACAAAATGCAGAAAGAGGGAGCCTTGGCTCTGGGCGGCGCTGCCAGTTTATGTAATTTAAACAAAAAACAAATGCTGGGAGGGGGGGGGAGAGAGAGAGAGAGAGAGAAAGAAATAAATGCCACCTTCAATTAAACAGCCCTCTTTGCCTTCCGCCCAACATAGCTCAGGGCCGTCTTAAAAAGAGGCACGGAGTGAGTGACCGAGTGACCGTGTTAGAAAACAGAGATGGAGGCAGGAACCCTTCTCACTCTCGCCCCCCCCCCAGCTCCTCACCCGCCGCTGGGAGGCAAAATGGTTGGCTGAGACACAAGCAGCAGCAGCAGCAGCGGTGGGCCCTGCAGAAGCCAAGGGGAGGCAAGTCCCGGTTCCGCCAATGAGAACAGCTGCCTCCTCCGCGGGGGTTTGCCACGGAGGATCTTAGGCATTCCACCAGGAGCTGCCAGGAGCCCCCCCCCGAGGCCCAGAGCCCCGTGGGGGGAGACGGCTCCTAGATGCACTGGGGCGTAACTCTCAACCCAGACAATGGCTGGGAGGTGGCAGGGCTGGCGTCCAGCACAGGTCAGGGGTGTAACTGTCCGAAGGCCACCGAATTCAGGCTACTGTTTTCCTCCTCTGCTACTCCAAGCCTCCTTCCCTTCCAGGGCGGGGTGTGTCCTTCCAAAGCCTCACATCACACCAGACACTTTGCTGGGGGAAGGGGGGGAGGGTCACCGCCTCTTTCCTGCTGACCAGCTCAAAAACTTTCGGCCAAGCCGGTGCAGAGTGTGGCCCGGATTCCCAGGCGGGTGGAGCAGGAGGGCTCCAGACAGGGCACAAAAGCCACCAACGGCTGCCTTCCCCGCTGACCCTCCCGATCCGGAGGCGGCAGGCGAGGACACCTTGGCCCGTCCTAGCGCCTTCCTTCTTTTTTTCTTTTTTGCCTTCCTTTTATGGCTGCTGCCGCCTCTCTCCTGCACTCAGGCCAGCTCCAGAGGCCTACACCACCCAGCTTGCTTGCCTGCCTGCCTGCCTGCCCAGCGGGCAGAGGCACTTTCTTTCCGACCAGGCTCCCTGATCCCCAGGCCGACGACATCGAGGCACAACATTGGGGTGCGAGCGCAAACAATGGGCTGGGAAACCTGCAGCCGGATTTCGCGGCTGAAAGAGAAAGAGGAGGAGGAGGAGCCAAAACACCTCCGGGCTATAAACAAAAGAGCGGAGTGAGGGAGGAAGCAGCCCCAGCCTGCCTGGGTCTCCTCAAGAGTAGCCAGCGCCCTCCTCGTCTTTCCCATCCTGCTCCCCCAGGCCAGGAAGGCCCCACCAGCCCAGCCTCCTACCTTCCCTGCCTGGATGAGCGGCTTGGCTGGGCCTCGGAGGCTGATGGGGGAAGGGGGCTTAGCCCTGCTGCCTGGCTGGGGGGGGGAGACACACCAGGAGGAGCCCGATGGGCAAAATGGCGCTGGAGGAAAAGGCAGCAATCCCAGGCGGGTTGCCATGTTGCCGGCGCCCGGCGGGGACAGGAAGTGGCTGGGATAACGGGGAAGTGGCTGGGATAACAGGCAGGCAGCGAAGGAAGGAAGGAAGGAGAGTAAGGAGGGAGGAGGGAGGGGAAGGAAAGAAAAGAGGAAGGAAGGGAAGGAAGGAAGGAAGGTGGATGAATAGAAGGGAGAGAAGGCAGGGAAAAGCAAGGGAAGAGGGAAAGATGGATGGAAGGAAAGGAGAAGGAGGGAAAGGTGGTGGTGGAATGAGGGAGGGGAGGAGAAGGAGGGAGAGAAGATGGCAAGAAAGGGGGGAAGTTGGAAGAGAAAGACAGAGGAAGGGAAAAAGGAGGGAAGGAAGGAAGGGAAGAAGAAAGTGGGGAGGAAAGAAGGGGAGGCAGGAAAGAAGGAAGGAGGAAAGAAAGTGGGGAGGGAAGAAGGAAAGAAAGTGGGGAGGAAAGAAGGGGAGGCAGGAAAGAAGGAAGGAGGAAAGAAAGTGGGGAGGGAAGAAGGAAAGAAAGTGGGAAGGAAGGAAGGAAGGAAGGAAGGAAGGAAGGAAGGAAGGAAGGAAGGAAGGAAGGAAGGAAGGAGAGAGGGAGGAAGGGAATTTGAGGAAGGAAGGGAAGGAAGGAAGGGGAGGCAGGGCCCCTCGCCCCCTCGCCCTCTCACTCACCAGCACTGGAGGTGGAAGGCAGCCGGGCAGTGGTCGCAGCAGAGCAGGTCGCCGCCCTCCTTGCAGCTGTCGCAGCTGTCGTGGTTCGTGGCGCGCCCGCTGCGGCGTTGGGCGGCGGCGGCCGAGGCCGGGTGGTGCTGGTGGGGCGCGCCGGGGAGGCCTCCCGCCGGGGAGGGCGCCGCCGCCGCCGCCGCCGGGGGGAGGCCGTGCGGGGGCCCGCCGCCGGGCTGCGGGAGGGGCGGCGCCGCCGGGTGCTGCTGCTGCTGCTGCTGGTGGAAGTGGTGCGCGGGGTGCCCGTCGCCGCCTCGCTCCGGCCGCCGGCTCCGCTTCTCGCTCCCGCCGCCGCCGTCGCTCCGCGGAGGGGCCAGCAGCGCCTGGATTTGCTGCGGGGGGGGAGGAGGAGGGGGAGGAGGGAGGGGGGAAGCATCGGTCAGGCGGGCGCCGGACGGGACCCTCCCCCCTCCTCCCCCTCCCCTCCCCCCACCGGGACCCCCCCTCACCTCCATGAGGCCGCCCGTGGTGTCCAGGTCGTAGACCACCGTCTTGGCCTCCATCCTCTCCCACATCCAAGGGCGCGGGCAGGGCCGCAGCGCGCCGCTCAGGCCGGCCCGGCGGGGGAGGCGCGTCGCGGGGCCGCGGGGGACTCGCCGCCGCCGCCTCGGCCTACCCGACGGGCCTGGGGGAGCCCCCCGCCGCCGCCGCCGCCGCCCGGACAGGCCGCGGCTGGGCTGAGGGGACGGCTGCCATGACAGGGGGCGGGGCCCGCGCTGCCTGCCTCGCCGCTGAGGGGAAGGTCGCCCGCCGCCGCCGCCGCCGCCGCCTCACACGCAGGGCCCCGCCGCTGCCGCCGCTGCCACAGCGCTCGTCGCGCAGGCGCACCGCCACCTCCCCGCCGCCCCGGGAGCATGCGCGCGGCGGCGGCCCTCTGCCGCGCAGGCGCGGGAAAGCCGGAAAAAAAGAAAAAAAAAAACCACGACGCTTCGGGTTCGCTCGGGGGGAAAGGCAGCGCGCTCGAGGTCCTCCACGCTGCGCGTGCGCGGCCGTACAACCCCCCCCCTCCTTTCGTCACCCTCCCTTCCTCCGCTCCCGTTCGGCTCCTGCTCTTTGCGCAGGCGCCCAGGAGGCCTTTTCTGCGCACGCGTGGCTATGGGTTTTGTTTTTTTGTAGGTTTGCCCCCCCCAGGCTCTTTGTGCGCAAGTGCAGATCTTTTTTTTTCCCTCCCCACACCCCATTCTTTCCTTTCCCGTTGTTTTGCGCAAGCGCCGTTCTCACGAGCTAAGGTCTCGGTCTGCGCCGGCGCGGGCTGACCTTTGATTGCAGAAGAAAAAGGTTTAATTTCAAATGTTCAAACCCCGTATGTAGTCGTGACTTAAAGGGACGTTTTAATAAATGATGCGGTCTGATAAGTGCGCAAGGAGTATTTTATTTGTTCCCTAGTTTTCCTGGCGGCAGGTGCTTTGTGGCGCATGCGCAGACCTGCGTTCCAGGCGGGCAGGAGCTCGGAGTAATTGGGAGGTAGGCTCCGTGCACATGCGCAGAAAGGGCCAGGATGCGAGTCTGCGCACTGCCGGCGAGCAGGAGGGCGAAGGGAAAGGGAAGCAGTTCTTTTGTTCGCACGCCGACTATGCCGGCTCTTTTCGAGGCTCTGCAAAGGGCTCTTCTTTGCAGCAGCGGAGCGGGGCTACGACAACCTCGCAGTGTCGTCCAAGGGTTCTCCCATTATATAGCCTGAGAATGGACGAGAGCATCTTTTGGCCACAAAGAAGAGGGCGGGGCGCGCAGGAGCCTTATGAGGAGGGGGCTTGCGGATCGCCATGGAGAGGGGCGAGGCTGGGGGGAGGGAAGACAGACGCAACCGCTGGGCTGGACCTCCTACACGGGTAGATTTGTTCGTGTGAACACGGATAAGAAGGTCTCCGGGGAAATGATAATGCCCGTCCCGTAAGGCAGCCTAGTCCTCTGGGGTCGCAGGTTGGAATTGGGGAGGGGGTCCTCGCTCATGACCGGGGGGGGCGGGGGAAGCCCAGGCCTTTTGCAGCTGCCGAAGGGTCCATCCGGGGGTCTGAGTCCCCGACGCAGCGACCCCAAGCTCAGACCCCGGGAAAAGCGCTAGACGGGGGTCTTCGAGACGGCCAGGTTCGCACAGCTTTGCCCAGCGCCCCCTGCTCGCCTTCGCGCTTCCCCGGCGGCGGCGGAGGAGGAGAGGTCTGCGCGATCCCTCCTGGCTCCCAGCCTGGCTGAGCGAGCTCTTACTTGGGGCTATCTATCTATCTATCTATCTATCTATCCATCCATCTATCATCTCTATCATCCATCCATCCACCCACCCACCTACCTACCTACCTACCTACCTATCTATCTATCTATCTCTATCATCCATCCACCACCCATCCACCCGTCCATCCATCTAACTATCACCCACCCACCCACCCACCCATCTATCTATCTATCTATCTATCTATCTATCTATCTATCTATCTATCTATCTATCTCTATCACCCACCCACCCACCCACCCACCCACCCATCCATCCATCCATCCATCCACCTACCTACCTACCTACCTACCTACCTACCTATCTATCTATCTCTATCACCCACCCACCCACCCACCTACCTACCTACCTATCTATCAATCTATCTATCGATCTATCTATCGATCTATCTATCATCTACCTACCTATCCTCTATGATTTATATCATCTATATCATTTATAATCTCTTATCTATCTATCTATCATCTCTGCCTATCCATCCATCCATCTATATTTATATCTCTATCCATCATCTATTGAATGGCTATGCAGTCCGTTTCTCCTGTATCACCTACCTATCTATAGCTGTATCATCTATCTAATCTTATCATCTATCTATCTATCTGTATCATCTCTATCATTTTATCTATCTATATCATCTTCATCTATAGCGGGTGTCAAACTCGCAATGTCACGTGACATGTTGCAACGTCTCGCAACTTTTTTTCCATTGCCAGCAATGGGGTGGATGCGGTTTCCCCATGACGCGTCCGGCCCATGGGTCGGCAGTTTGACCCCCCTGATCTATATCATCTATCAATCGGTTTATCTATCACTTAACTATATCTGTCATTGATCTGTCTGTCATCTATCTGTATCATCTATCTAGCTCGTCTATCTATCTATCTATCTATCTATCTAATTATCATTATCTTCTATCTAGCTCATCTATCTAATCTATCTTCTATCTGTCTATCATCTATCTACCTACCTACCTATCCTCTATGATTTATTTCATCTATATCATTTATCATCTCTTATCTATCATCTCTGTCTATCCATTCATCCATCCCAGAAATTTGGAATGATATGCAAAGAAGAAGAATCCTGGTAGATCCTCTGGGGTTGAATCAATCTTGTCTTTCCCAGCAGGAGCTTTTAAGCCGGCTGGTGATTACGAGAATTAAAATCTAGGGCGATCTCAAGTGAGCTGACAATGCCAGGATAAGGATCTGCCCATCTGCCCGCTGCCAGGAACAGTGCCAGGTTTGGGATCAAGCCTCCATCCCCCACAAGGCTCGTTCCTACGGTGCCGTAAGCCACGCTCCCAAGTGTGTAGTTGCATGCGGCCGTTGGGTCTTGCAAACTGTGGTTTACGGTGTGGCCCATCTGGGTCAATAGGATACAAGGCTCCAGAACTTGTGGGTGTCCCATCACTAGAGATTTTCAAGAACAGATTGGACGGCCATTTGTCCAGGATGGTAGGGTCTCCTGCTTGAGCAGGGGGTTGGACTAGATGACCTTAAAAGCTGCCTTCCAGCCCTACAATGATTCTATGATTCAGGAAGGAAGGAAGGAGGGAGGAAGGAAGGAAGGAAGGAAGGAAGGAAGGAAGGAAGGAAGGAAGGAAGGAAGGGAGAGAGGGAGAAAGGGAAGGAGGAAGGGAGAGAGGGAAGGGAGGGAGGGAGGAGAGAGGGAGAGGGAGGAAGGGAAGGGAAGGGAGAGAGGAAAAGAGGAAGGAAGGAGAGAGGAAAGGAAGGAAGGAAGGAGTGATAGAGGGAAGAAGGAAGGAGGAAAGGGAAGGAAGGAAGGAGAGGAAGGAAAGAGGGAAGGGAGAGGGAGGAATGAAAGGAGGAAGGAAGGAAGGAAGGAAGGAGAGGGAGGGAAGAAGGAAGGAGGGAGGGAGGGAGGAAGAAGGAAGGAGAGAAGAGGGAGGAAGGGAAGGAGGAAGGAAGGGGAGGGAGAGAGGGAGGAAGGGAAGGGAGAGAGGAAGGAAAGGGAAGGGAGAGGAAGGAAGGAAGGAGAGGGAGGGAAGAAGGAAGGGAAGGAAGAAGGAAGGGAGGAGAGGGAAGAAGGAAAGGGAAGGGAGAGAAGGAGGAAGGAAGGGAAGGAAGAAGGAAGGAAGGAGAGAGGGAAGGGAGAGAGGGAGGAAGGAAGAAGGAAGGAAGGAGAGAGGGAAGGGAGGGAGGAAGGAGAACTATGGGGTCCTTGGTGCTGAGTTCGGTTGTTTTCTTGCAGATGTTCCATGACCCATCAGTACTAGAAGCGGGGGGGGGGGTTAGTGGTGTGGAAAAGGAGAAAGGGGAGAGGAGAAGGAGGGGGACGACGATTGTGGGGTCCTGAGTGCTCTCTGAGCTTGGTTGTTCTCTTGTAGACCTTTCATGACCCAACTAGGGAACATCATCAGTGTTAGAAGGGAGGGGGGGGGTTGTGGAGAGAAATAGAAGGGGGAGGGGGAGGACGTCAAACTGTGGGGTCCCTGGTGCCCTCTGAGCTGGGCGGTTTCCTTGCAGACATTTCATGACCCAACTGGGGAACATCATCAATGGTATAAGGGAGAGGGTATTTGTGGAGAGAAGGGAAAGAGGAGGGGAAAGGAGGAGGAGGAGGAGGAGGAATAGTGGAAAAGAGGGAGGGAGGGAGGAAGGAAGGAGAAAGGAGAGGAGAGGAGGAGGACTGTGGGGGTCCTGAGTGCTCTCTGAGCTGAGCTGTTTTCTTTCAGAAGTTTTATTACCCAGGTAGGTAACATCATCAGTGTTAGAAGGGAGCAGGGTTTGCAGGGGGGAGGAGGAGGAGGAGGAGGGCGATGATTATGAAGCCTTTTCCTGCAGGAAACATCATCAGCGCCTCTTCTCTGCTCACCTGGCACCTGAGGAACAGCTGATCCTCAACTCCTTTCTCCTGTTGGCACTTGGGTGGGGGCAGCTTCCCCCCCCGTCACTCTCCCCCCTCCACACTTTTCCCATCCAGACCAGGGGGGGTGAATTTCGCACAGAGGGTGCCCCGAGCAATCCCACACTGCTCCACTTGTAGGCTCCGTGGGGCAGGGACTTCGCCCTCTGTGGAACTGGGCCTCACCCTTTCTACCCTGGCCTTCTCAGGTGGACCAAGGCAGGAGAGGATCCAGATATCTTTGCCTGTTTTGGCAGACAAGGACGTCCACTTTTGGGGGCCTTGCAGAGGGGTCCAGCTGATGCGTGACTCTCACAGTCTTTTTTTCTCCATTTGTGTGTGTGTGTGTGTGTGTGTGTGTGTGTAGTCCACGGCTCATTGTCCTGGCTGTGCAAATATATTCCTGGCCACGAAATATATTCAGGGACCCTCGAAAAGGACGTTTTTGTTTTTTTTGTTGAGAAATGCTCAATGTCCTCCATTTACGCCACTTTGTTTAGCGACTATTCAAAGCTACAAGAGCGCTGAAAAAAAAATAAACTGTGATCTTTTCCCACACTTAACAATCATTGTAGCACCCTCCTGGGCACGTGACCAAAATTCAGACGCTTGGCCACAGACTCGTGTTTATGACGGTTGCAGCGTTCCCGGGGTTACAGGGTCCCCTTCTGCGACCTTCTGAGAAGCCAAATCAATGGGGATTCACTTAACGACCGTATGACTAGCTCAGGGATAGGCAACCTTGGCTCTTTTGTGAC